TTTTTATACAAAATTACTCTTACCACTGTTTTGATTTAATATGAGTTCTTTGTTTAGTCACGCATAAATTAATTATTCATCTAAAATTTGTTTACCGTAAAATCACGGTAATGTAATGCATACAGTATATATTATATATTTTTAATTAAACTTTTTATCCGAATGCGGATTCTTTATACTATTAAATTTAACAATAAAGCTTTTTTTATGTCTCAGTCGAGGTGCAAATATTTTTAAATCTCAAATTTATAAGGGTCACATACCACCCTTATAAATTTGAGATTTCTTAATTAAATTTACTAATAATATTTTTTAAATAAAATATATAATATTTGAAATCACAAAACTAGAAAGAAGCTCAAGTAGGTAGATGAAATTAAGATACTGGCCGGCGGGCAGCCCTGTCGCGTGGGTACGTGACGCTCGGCTGTAGGTAATTATTTCAAGGACAGGCCCGAGTTGGAATACTGTATGCATTACATTACCGTGATTTTACGGTAAACAAATTTTAGATGAATAATTAATTTATGCGTGACTAAACAAAGAACTCATATTAAATCAAAAAAGTGGTAAGAGTAATTTTGTATAAAAAGATGCTTAGTTATTTGGCAGAGTTTTGTAAAAAAACTGTCTAAAATATTAAATTATGGTAAAATATTACGATAAAAAAATGTTATTGCTATATTAACAACAATAAAATATGTTATCCATAGAAATAAGAACCTTTTTCCATAACTTCATCCAAGATTTTTAAAATTCTCAGAATAAAAAAATGTATAAAACAATTTACAGAAAATTGATATCTCTAGAAGACAACGATATAGATACAAAATGTTAGTAGTAAATGTAATATTATTCTACTAAGAACTGTTAAGCCCGCTTCTTATTCTGGACGTTCGTAGCTCTAATAAGTACCGTTGCGACTGCAATAAATGTCACTAGACAAAGTATTCGTAAGTAGGCCAGACCGAATCGCAAGTACCTATCTATTGTAGTTCTTCTGCTCTACGTAGAGGGGAGATTTCTGTTGATTTAACATTGTACGTGTATATACCTCACTGTTTAAGGCCATACAAACAAGGCATGGTCTTTGGAAAATTATTTATTCATTAAATCTAAGGAACGAAAAGGATATTTATTTTAAGTTTAAGAAAGATTATATGTGGTATTATAAATTAGATTCTGTCCTGAATAACCATTATTATTTTACTGTACACTGTTAAAGTAAGCCAGTCTTCGCTTTTTTGATGATTGGCCAGTTCTCAATTTATTTATACACGTCAAGTATTACTTATGAGAATGAAAATAAGTCTACGTACGCAACAGCTTCCAAACGCTACGCAACTCACGTAGATCCTTCACTCAACCAACAAACCGACAATTCAACAAACTGTTAGATTAAAACTGAAACTTATATTGCCTTTGAAAAAATATTTTTGTATATACAGTTCAGACCTTTTTCTCGTCTGTTTGTCAACCGAATTTCTTTTTATAACTATTGTCGTCAATATCGCTTTTGTTTTATCAATAAAACAAATTTGAAAACAGTTTTTTTGTATATAAATTGGTAAATATTATTCATATAATGTTTCCCTCAAATTTTCATCATTATAATAGTCGAATTATACGTAAGTATAATTTATAAGTCTGTTAAGCTCATTTTAATTTATAACTAATTCTACATATGTTCGTAGAGTTAAGAAATTCAAATAAGTACAATATTTGCTATTGATTGAAATAATGGTATTACGATTTCACTCGTAGGTACCTAATGCAAAAACAATTTAAAAATAATTCTTGATGCGTAAGTTATTTGAATTTTAACCTTATTGTACTCTTTTTTAGGGTTACGTAGTCTTTGCCGTGAGTGCGCAAGCGATCCTGCACGCCCCATTGCACTGCGGCGAAGGTTTCCGCTGTGGGTTTTAGTGAGTAGGAGTCTCACAGTACCTTGCCCGTTATGACGGCCGGCAGGGTCCCCATGATGGGTTTCCCCAGCGACAACAAAAAAAAAAGGGTTGCGTAGTCTAAAGGCAAAAACAGAACCCTTTTAATTTCGTCATATCCGTCATGGCTGTCTGTCCATCTGTCACAATTAATTTATTCAGAGGGTATTATGACTGAAATTTGATAAATAAGCATGATAGTGATCCTCTAGATAATTCTTTAGTCAAATTATGAAATACTCTCTATACATACAACTGAGGTTCTAAAAACGTTTGAGCCATTTAAGCGTGTAAACTATCTCTAAAACGGACCCGAGACAATCAATAGCAATTGTCAATACTACGATAGTTTCAGTGCTACGATATCTTCAATTTCAATTGAAGTGGGATTACCGCGACCGCGGGAAAATATCTCATTTCTGAGAAAAAATACAAAACTGCAATGTAAGAGTATACTAATCTGTAAAACCTAAGAATTTGGTTTTTGGTCATCTGAACGCAGGCGGAGCCGCGGGCAATGCTAGCCGATAATAATACCCACCCAGTCCTCCAGAGGTTGCGGCCAATATACTAAATAACAGCCGAATAATACCTCAAAATCAGTTCGACCTAGGCCAAACTATTTCTCCTGGTCACGCTATAACTTGAGAACGCCTTTACCGATTTATTCATTTTTTTTTTAAATGTTTTCTAATACTTTTTTTGTATTATTCGCTATATTCCTGTATATAAACGAGCAATTCTTGTATATATATATATATAATCTGAATCTCGGAAACGGCTCCAACGATTTTCATGAAATTTGGGTTTCATTTACATTTCATTACATCACATTTCATGGCTAAAAAAATTAAAATTTATATGGCTAACGCTGGCTAATAACTATTTATATCTATTTAAAACGTACCTAGATAATAAAATATATTCATCGTCATACTTTTCCTTCCTGCCTGGCACCTGCGTAGACGAACACACCACAGAGTTATTACGAAGGCGCTCGATTACTTCGACTAAACTAGCGGCGCGTAACATATTATTTCCTCCACTACCGCTATATAGTATATGATGCTCTCCTGACCGATTCCGGCCACGGCGGCCAATCTCATTGAGACTAGCCAACTGCGCAGGAGATATTATAGTGCACAAGTGTACGCGCAGACTCAACGTGCACTCTCTATTCTTGTCACTCTCATACTCTGATGGGACGACACGAGACACGACCAGTGAGAGTTAAGGCGCGGGACCGACGGCTTTACGTGCTCTCCGAGGCACGGGGGTAAAACACCGCCAACTTCCCAACTCCGGGCTGTTACTGAGGCTTACTATACAGAAAGACTCAATAACTAAACTTGGCGCGACCCGGGGCTCGAACCCAGGACCTCCGGTGTGCAGCCGTACATGCTAGCCACTACTCCACCGAGGCAGTTTGATATAGTATATAACGTATAGTTAACAATAGATTTCTTAGAAATTTAATTAATTTCTTAGAAATTTACCTGAAGGTGTTACTGCTAATGTAGCTGAGAATGATTTATTGAAAATATGATATAAAATGATATTTCAGCTGTAAAGTTTATTCATTAACTATAAATAGAGATAAATTACTAACAATAGATCATTAATATAGTCAATTTCATACATATAAAAATTATTATATGATTTAGAAACAGGAAACAGCGAAAATAAACTATAAACTTTTTCGAAATGCTTATATGAATAGGAATGACACCAACAGGCAAATATAAGATTTTTTTTCTTATATAATATTCCGTCCCGTATTTATGTAATATTTTTATACATTTAAGCAGTTTGCTACTCATTAAATACTTTCTTAGATTTACGCGAATATATTTATATGTTATATGTATCTCAGTTTTAGACGTCTCAAAGAACCTTAGTCCTCCCGTGACCATGATTGCTGTAAAGCATTCGAAATGTTGGGAACCAAAAATTTAAATAAATCCGCGGAATAATCCGATTCGATAGTTAGTTTTATTTAAAATTGGCTATTCATTGTTTCGTATACATTTATTAACTTTCGATGTTAATTTTGTCTACACTAATATTATACAGAAAAAAAAGTTTTTTTTTTGTAGATGAAAGTAGTTCGAGATCCTGGAAAGGACATAGGATAGTTTTTATCCTGGAAATCATCCCTTAAAGGGTTGAAAAGAGGTGAAAGTTTGTATGGGGAATCAATCATTTCTCAAGTAAGGGATATAAATTATAAACTAATCATACCCTATGTATAATATGTATATAATAGGTCTTTACCAATGAAGTTGCCGTTTTACAATACTGGTCATTTGAAACGTAATTTATAAATGGCCGGCAATAAATTCTAAATTGAAATTAATTTTATTTTAAAAGTTCTATTTTCAAATTCAGTTATTTGTTTATTTATTAGTGTTTTGTTTTCACTACATTTGTATCTTTTTCATCAATATAGATAATATAAAAATACGAGTAAGTAATTATGGAATACGAGTTCCGTCGCGGTAGCAATGCCGCATAAACGGCTCGCAACAATACGGATACGTAGTGAACACTACAAACTAGAACTACTACACAACTACAACTAATGTAAATAAAAATAAAAAACGAAAAACTTGGTTATTTGAATTTTTCACATAAATTTTGAGGTTATGTGAAAAAAGTGTAAATACAAAAGTTGTAGATATTTTTATTACCTACAACAACTTTGCCATTTAACTTTTTTCCATAAGACTTATAGTTTTACCGGTAATCGAGATAATCCGTTTTTTACCCTTAAAAACTCACCCCCTCCCACTTCCCGACCTGAGATCGCCCGTAAATTACTTTTCCTTTCATTTTTGTTATATTCTCTTCTGTTTCCAATGGATTTCATCCTACTATTATTTTTTGTTGGTTTCAAAAATTATCTACCCTGGTCTATTATTTATTAATCAAATGAGGGTAAACTCAAAGATTTATTTGATAAGTCTTATTCAACTATCACAATGTCGTGGTATTTATTACCTTAAATAACATATTATCTAAATAATAGTATAAAGTTAAAAATGATTAACTCACCTTGAAAGCATTTCTAAATTTATTTGACATGATGTTGTATAGAAATGGATTGATCGCAGTCGAAAGAAAATAAAGAACTCCCGATAGGTAAGTCAGCACTATATACACCTGAGAACAATAAAAGATAGACACAAATTAATTATAAGGTTATTCAACTTTATTCCAAAAATTAAATATCGGAATTTTCACACTCAATGGGAAAATTGAATATCACTAACAAATAATTACATATAATATTACCTACGTGTAAATAATAATGATATAGATTATACACACAAATTAGGAGTTTAGGAACAATTTTAATGACAAATGGTTATGTAAGTATAGATCGTGTTTTGTTGTAAGTATTATTTAAACATTTATGAATAAAAATCTATGTTAAGGAATAAAATATTCCATGTAACATAATAAATACTTTGCAGCTTTCACTCCACGCTCGTAAAATCGAGATTTGATGCAAAATATGCTAACATCATAAATGCATCTATTCTCGGTAGGTTATCCGATTGTGCTTTGACAAAACCAGTTTCAGTCATCGTCCTAGATTGACTACAAATATATATTCACAAGTAATCACACGGGAATACAGTTTAAAACATTTTTTTTTACAATCACTACCTAACACAGTATAAATAATGACGTGACGTGACCATTGACGTTACATTTCGTTTCGACCAATGGTGGCGCGTTTTGTAAGTTTGAATTTCCCTCCCTTAGTTTTCATTTTCTATATATTATTTTCTGGGTTTAAATAATAACTAAATGAAAAAATACCTTTTAAGTATAATGTAAAGACAATAAAGAATCTAAGAAAAAATATTTGAGATAAATTTAAATTTTATGCATATTCCCTATTGGATTTTAGAGCCTAATTTTTAGCTAATAAAAGCGAATTTTACTTTTCATATAAAATTTGCATAGTATTAACGACACGTTTGGCTCAGTTTGTAGTGCTTACTTGCTATGCCAACGGTCGCGGGTTTGCGTCCCGCTGGGGGCATTCATTTGTGTGATGAGCACGAATGTTTGAACTCCAGTCATGAGTGTTTATATATAGAAAAACACTATTAGAGATCTATTAGTTCCGACGGGAACCGTTCATTTTTCCCGGATGAAAAGTAACCTGTTGTTTGACCGGCAATATAAGGTATCAGAATGTTAAATTTTACTGAATTAGGTGCATAAGTTGTATAAGTTAATATGGTTTTTTAACTATCCAACGGGAACTATTTAATTTTCCGGGATAAAAAGTATCTAAGATGTTGCCCGGAGATATAAGGTACCACCATGCAAAATTTCATTTAAATCGGTCCAATTCGGATTCGGAGATTAACCCGTACAAACAGGCAAACAGACAGAGAAACAAAAAAATTGAAAAAAAATTGGATTTGTTCTATTTGCCTTCTTACAATCCCCCTGACTCGGTTTTTGGCATTTTTTTGCTATGTACAGAAATTCGACCTCTACTGTTTTATTATAGAATAGAAGCTATGTATGTATCTAAAGTTATATATATATATATATATATATATATATATATATATATATATATATATATATGTGTGTGTGTGTGTGTGTGTGTGTAGTGTATCTACTAATTTGTGTCCATAACACAAGCCTCGTAGTTTACCATGGAACTAGATGGTGTAGAGTGTTAATGTCCAACATATTTATTTATTTATTTTATTAAAATACTTCCTTCTTACTCTGCAACTACCTACTACTTTATCTACGTCTACACCGAAAATAGAAAAATAAAAAATAAAAAAACCGACTCCTAAACACTAAAAAGTAAAAAAATACTATGGATACATAATGAGATATTTTCAAAGTCGGTGCCAGCCGATGCAAAACAAAGCAAATCTTACGTCACAAATTAATATATTAAACTATAATTAAATTTCATACTTTGTCATTGTCGAATGACACCAACTTCGAAAATATCTGATTAAGTATCTACTATTACTAATATTACTATGAAGACTTCCTTCAGTTATTTTACTTTTTAGTGTTTTGAAGTCGGTTTTTATTATTTATTTTAAAGTTCTTTGTATTAACTGAGTCAAAAAAATAAATTTCCTTTCTTACAAACTAAAATATGCGCTTCATTACGCTTCACTCGCTTTAGAAATTTAATTGTGCGTGGAAGCATTTTCATAATTTTGCTTCAATGTAAAGGCCTTCGTATTTACCATAATTAAGAAATAACTTGAAAACTACATAAGCTCGAGTAACACATCACGAGTTCCTTAAAACAAAAAGAATTTAATAATACAATTTCTTCATGATTTTGAAATCAAAATACATATATATTAATTTGTATTTGTACCTAAAAATTACAAAACTATTCATTGAGTTTTTTTAAGGTAGGTATGTGCTTACATTTCTTGATATTTTAGATTGTAATAATGAATATATCTATCATTTTAATATACTTAATATGATAATTATGACAATAAAGTTCATGGTCCGCCTAACATAACATGGAAACGTAAGTCATATTACCTCTACATTAATTATTTTTGATACTTATTACTTAAGTTAATTTAAATAATAAAAAAAAGCTACACCATATATTTTTTTATCTAAAATACAAGATGCAGACTAAACTATTACACAATTATATACAGATCAGCAATAGTATTTTATTTGCAAATAAAAAGTCGAGAGGCATCGGTCATAAAAATTGTCACGAGTAGGTACTAAGCATGGAAATGATTGCTACTTTTAAATCATTATCACGTGATGAAATTACAACAATTTTTCACGTGATTTCACCTGCTACTTTTCACGCATAGATTTTTGATTTCGACGGTCTGGTGTCACACTTTATATTATTTGCTATTAAAATGTAGTATGAAATGTCACCAATGGCGCTACTGATGTGATATGGAGCAGAGATATAGATCTGACGTAGTTGCATACGTACATGGTGCTTTGAATGAACCTATTTTCAAACAATGAACTTTCCCTCATACTTCTACAGGCTTGGGACTGACAATGTAAAATTAAATGAATTTTAAATATATCAGAGTAATCACACGGTAAAATTGTATTAAGCTAAGTTCCATAATTACATTGGCGTATTTAAAAGTTCATTGTTTTTATGTACAATAAGAATTTTTATAAAAGAATTTTATACTTTTGAAAATACTCTCTCACACTCCACTGATGTCACCAAGATGTGACAGTGCTCATGAAATATTTCCGCCAAATTGGGGTACATATAGGAGTGAGATTTCCACCAAACTAATGACGAAGAATCGCGCGGAAGCACTGGTTCATTAATAAACATTTCTAGCTCGTTCTCAGCGTTGGTGGTTATGTCTGTACGTATTACACATAATCATTCAGTAAAAATTATAAGTATTTGTTGGATAAAAAACTAAAAATGTGCTCTAAATTTAATTGTTGTTTCTAATTTAAAATTATTTCTAAACAATATTTCTAAGAATCCGAAATCATGCAACTCGAAATAAATAAACTCCCCAATTTACTGATCAACGGTATTAACTGAAAATTGTATTTTGTTGAATAAAAAATCAATAAAAACATCAGTACGAAAATGTATACGGAAAATGCGAGTAACGAAATGCATTCGTGAGTAACGTTTAGGTACTCGGTACTAGATGGCGTACCCGTTACTCAGTAACGAATACATACGGTTTGCTACAGCTCTAGATTTCACCAACTTGTGATTTGTAGCAGCCACTATGAATTTAAGTAGCAGGTGTGACGCGTGATTACGCATTTCACGTGATTTTTCACTTGCTACTCGTGAAATGTCCCATCCCTAGTAGGTACTACTAATTTCTGTACAGTGTCACGGGTATCGTAAACATTAAGCAACGTACATTGTACAATCTACATATTGTAGCTCATCGAAGAAAGTCCTGCACAGAGTGCACACGAATTTCTTACAACATACATTCCTTTGCACTTATGATTGCCTTGTCCTTATGATGACTTCACATGGGGTGCTCTTAGTAAATAAGAAAAAGTGTCGTGACGGTCGAAATATTACACTTTTTTCCGTCAATTTCTTATTCCTCGAGTGTGCCGCGTATGGCAAGATAAGTAACTTCGTTGTAATTAAAAAAACGGCTTTGCTTTTATATCTCAGCATGCCATATGAAACGAACTAGTATTTATCAAATGCATCAATAATAAATTCCTTTTTGGTCGATTTCGGTGATGAAGGCCAATTACTAAAAATAATAGCAGGAGATATTAAAGTGCATATGTACTATGCGGGTAAACTCACTCTATAGATCCCTATTACTGTCAATGGCCGTTGAGACGACAATTGGGGTAGTGATAGGCCGGGTTTGAAGGCATACTTGCTAGCCACGACCTTAACCAGTAAATCTGTTCTAAAACACCTTCTTCCCTCAACGTTAAATTTACAAATTTTAAAACTTAAATATACAATAATATGTTCAGTGATTTATTGTTTAGTATACGGATTCTCAAGTAATTAGGAAGATTTAAACCTTATAGAAAAATACTAAAATGTTAAATTATATGTTATGGCATCAACATAAATGTATTAATGAAAAACCTTAAAACATCCCATAAACTGAAATCTTACTAAAATTTGCCAAAGACCATTGTATATACTTAATTATAATAATTTCAGCGTACGGATCTTATGCCGCTTTTTTGGTTAAAACAGCAAAACACGGCGGCACTCCATGACCTTAATACATAGTCTGGCCATAAATACTGTTATAATTAAAAATAAACAAAATATTACATTTGAATTTGGAGTCTGTCATTTTTATATGATTGTTCATTGTGTTTTCTCATTTTCGCGCCAATACATTGTAAAATATTTTGTGATATTAAAATGGAGTGGGCTGATATAGAGAACAGAATCGCTGTGATTCCCTTACAAAAAGTAGGTATGGAGCCAAATACAATTTTTAAAACTCTCCATACGCTTGCTATTAGTCAAATTTGTGTACCGGGCTATTGATAGGTACAATGAAACCTCCTCTGACAGTTTGTGACAGAAAAAGATCTGGCCGTCCACGTAGTGTTCGTAGGAAAAAGGCGATCAAAACAGTAAGGGCAAGAATTCGAGAAAATCCTGTCCGAAAGCAAAAGATTTTATCTCGGGAGACGAAGGTAGCACCTAGAATCATGTCGCGCATTTTAAAAGACAACTTAGGACTTGCAACCTACGAGTATAAGAGACTAACTAACAACTACGAATACTTAAGTGGTACCTACGCAAAGGGAGGTCACAGAAAAATTTTGTTTATGGATGAGAATTTTTTTACAATTGAGCAAAATTTTACCAACAAAATGACCGTATTTATGCTCAAATCTCTAAGGAACCTTCCCAATTAGTTAACAGAGTAAACGTGGGCATTATCCAACTTCAGTGATGGTTTGGTGGGGTGTTAGCTATGAAGGAGTGACTGAGCCATATTTTTGTGAAAAAGGTATCAAAACTTTAGCACAAGTGGGAATGAGATTATCTCCTGCGGTAAAAAGTACCCTATGTCACTCTCCAACGCTCCAATTATCTCCACACAAAAAATCACGGCAATCCGTCAATTCGATTCGAAGTGAAAGAAGGACAAACAAACAAACAAACAAACTAACTAACAAGCAAACAGACTAATCAAACTAATCAAAAAGATACCTACTATGTATGCCCTCTTTTTATTATTTGTTAGAAAGAAATAATTGTTTAGAATAAAACTATTATTTAAGATTTTTTGCGAATTTATTTAGATCTTTGGTTTCCGACGTCATATGCTTTACAGAAAACATGGTCACGGGAATGTTTATTAGTTTAAAATGTCAAATATCTGCGTAAATCTAAGAAAGTAATAAAGTGCTTACTTTTTAAGATTCTTTTTATTATTGTTCTATTGAAAAAAATCATTCATTCGAACATCTGTGAAACTAACATCAACTAACAAGTATGTATGTAGCATTCAATCATGTTTTATTTGACATTTATTTTATCTGTACCATGTTACCTACTTTATACTTACATAAGTTTAATAATAATAAATACCTACTAAAACCAATTAGCAACATCAAATGAATTTATATACCAAAAGGAATTAATTAATAACTGTAAAATGGCCCATGGAATTATATAATTTATTAATTAATAATGTAAAATTTTAAACTACACTTTATTATAAATGTGAGCCTAATTCTATAAATTTTTTACAAAGCAACAAAATGTTTTGAAGTCTGATGAACAATTACATATATTTCAAGATTGTTTTTTAAGATTTATTTTACTTAACGAAAGGCATACCGAGTACAATATATTTTAAAAGTTATTATTCCGCCATTAAAATGTTTTTTTTTTATATTTATATGGAACTACCCTCAAAACCAACTACTATTGAAGAGAGAATTATAAAAATTGGTTCACAATCGATGAAGATATAGCGTAAAATGCAAAGGTACAATACAAAACTACAGCTGGATTAAATACCTTTTCTTTTTGAAGTCGATCAAAATTCAAGCTTAAGGGGATGAATTGATATGAATAATTATTCATAATATATAAAATAGTCATATCACGTATTGTTATATATACAAATGCGATTTATAATTTGCATGTAAATTATATTTTAAAGGTGATTGATTTATTTGTGCTCATGCAAAATAAAACCATTAAAACTAGAGGAATGTTACATTTCAAAACTGTCATTGGATTCATGGTTTACTTGCCGGTACTCCCACTAAATCTGCAATTATATGTCTACTAGCAGAACACGTGGCTTCGCTCTCAAACTACAAAAAACACTAAAAAAAGTAGGTTTCATACAAACTTTCAATCCCTATTTTACTCCCTTATGGGATGAATTTCGAAAAATGCTAAAACATGTATTTATTTAATTGTATTGAAAAGCATTAATACGAAGTTTCAAATAATTCTGATCATAAATATTTTTTAAGGTTGTATTGTAAAGTGTTTCCCGTGGGAATGATAATCTCCCACGATAAAACGTCGCCTATGTCGCTCTCTAGCCCTCTCTACTAACTAAACTATCTCCAAATAAAAAAATTACGCCAATCCGTCAATCATATCCGTCAATGTCATATTTTTTCCATCTTTTTAAAATAGCCTTTTACGCAATTGGATTTCTTTTCTTTTATTTAAGTTTTTCATTTTAATTAAGGTATTTAATTAATACATACTAATAGTACAAATGTAAAAGTGCTTGTTAATTTGTCTTTCTTTCACGCAACAACGCTTAAAGTATCACGTTTTCCCTGTAAAATATTATTATATTTTAAATTTAACTATCTTTTCGAATTTTTCTCGCGAATTTCTTTTGATTTTTGGTTCCCGACGTTTCAAATTCTTAACAGCAATCATGGTCACAGAAGAGACTAAGGTTTAACATATATCGAAAAACATAGTAGTTGTACAGACAGCCTACCCACAAATTAACAAAAATGAATTCAAAAAAATTCAAAAATGACATTAAAGTACGTTACTAGACCAATCGGAAACCATTTATTTTTAAGAGAAAAAATATATATTGAAAACCTTAAATTTTATGATTTTAAAATGTCAGCAGGTATATAAGGAATAGAAATTCATAAAATTCCCCATCTGCCCAGCTACCCCCGAGAAATGCGTTGAAAATATTTTTTTTCAATTTCCAGCTTACTGTGGCGTTCTATCGAAAAATGTTTTCCACAAAAGTTGTAGGTCTAGTAAAAATCTACAACTTTTATAAATAACACTTTGTACAATAACCTCAAAGTTTTCGAGATATTTGCAAAAAACTCGGTTTCTGTTTCTTGGGTTTTTATTTTTTATTTCTAGAATAATAATCTTTTGATTTCCATGAAACTAGGGGATGTAATCTTCGAAATACATGTAATAAATTAAAAAAAAATTAAACTGAAATGTTTAGCCATTTCCGAAAAAAGTATGTTTTATGGTCTCGATAGGCGAAAATCATCCCCAACTTCAAGTGGGCGTTTACATCGAAAAAAAATTCTGTTCAATTTTCAGATAGGGCTCATTTTTTCGTTTTGAACTCTACTCTTTGAAAATGTAATACATTGTATGTATGGTCGTCTTATAAAAACGAGCTTAAAAATAGGAGAAATCGATAATTTTTACTTTATAAAATACATTTTCTCCAATTATCATTGAAGAAGTGTACTTTATTAACCAAATTTTTATAAACTGATTACACCAATGTATTATTCAGGAAAAAACGAAAAAAAATATTTATACAATGCTGCCGTAAGCATTCCAACTTTTCAATTCGATGAATCGTGAAAAAATAATAAAAGTTGGAATTCACGTAAAATACATCAGCAGTTTTGTATTTTTTTGCCGTAGAATCTATTTATGTTATAATTTTTGAGAGTTTATCGATATTTTATTAGTTTTTGATCGACTTTGGAGCTGATTTTATTGATTTTTCTGAAAACCTTGATTTTAAGGTAATTACAGAAAGAAATGAAATTCATTCATAGTCTAATCTTGTTTATTCGTTAGTTAAAAACATATTTAAAAAAATTAAGTTGATATTTACAAAATTTACTCATAGTTTTGTTAAAAAATCTTAAAAATGTAAAAAATGATCTACTAAACCGATTTAGATGAGGTAAGAAGATAGTTTGAGACCCTGGGAAGGACATGTGATACTTTTTATCCCGGAAATCATCCCTTATAGGGGTGAAAATGGGGATGCAATTTTGTATTGGTAATCAAGCTAGGAACGAACCCGAGCGAAACGAGGGTGTGTCGCTAGTGCCAAATATTATCATAATATTTGACATATTATTGTAATATTATAATTATATTCAACAATTGTCTGTTACTTAAAAAATAATATTAAAGTACTTATAAGTTCATTAATTAAAAAGTAATATTAAACTACTATTTCAATAATGTACCTGGTAAAATGTATCGGTAGGATGCTCCAAATTTTTCCCATAAATTGCTATCAGTCTTTGCACGTGGAAAGGTGCCCAACAGAGGAAAAATGACAGCGCCACCGCCACTGCGAATTCAAGCAATAAAACCAACAAATAGAACAAAAACCTAAAAAATTGATATTATAACATGAATAATTTATACAAACAACAATGGAACTAGCAATTGCACAAATTATAATTTTTATAATGAAGACATTATACGTAAATAATGGAAAAATCTTTAATAAGTTGTATTTTTATCATTTGCCTCTTATACTCGTAAAAACTACTAATTTTATTTAAGGGTAAGCTGTTATATACATAGGTAATTTTATATATCTATCTTAATCTATACATATAATAAAACACATACAATAAAATTGTAACTAAGTCGAATCTGTACATTAAATATTTTTTGGAAAATCTTATTGAAATAGACAATATTATCGATACAGAGGCCGAATCTATAGTTTTTAAATTTGTTTTTCTGTCTGTCTGTTACCGCATCACACAAAAACCACTGGAGGGATTTTGATGAAATTTGGTATGATAATAGCTGGTTATCCGGGTCAACATATAGGATACCTTTTACTGCAGGAAAATAGTTAATCTCTGTGAAATCTAAACTAAGCGTTAAAACGTAAGTAGGGACGAACCCGAGCGGAGCGAGGGTGAGCCGCTAGTTTAATATATAATTCTTCTCTACGTGTGTAGTCACCTAGCTCCTCCTAAACGGCTGGACTGATTTAGTTGTAATTTTGTATATATATATCAGTGGGTCCCTGCAAGATTTGAATTCACAAATGGACCCGGTAGGTGGCATTGCAGTAGGTGCGTCACTAAATTTTCATGAAAGACTCCATTTTCCGTGCAGTCAATACATATAAATTGTTGATTAAAAAAATAAAAATCGATGTGTGTATGTATGTTTCCTATGGACTCCAAAACAGCTGGAGCGATTTTGTTGAAATCTTGAGGCAATCTTTAGATTAGCCCAGCGGGTGAACCTGTGAATTTTGTTAGCAATCGGAAGTTAAGACGCGGGCAAGGCCGTGGGTACTGCTAGTACATATAATAAAACCGTAGAGGTCAGAGAAGTTATCTAATATCTAAAGATGCGAAAACAAAGCGAAGGCTAGTATCATAATCATCGAATCGACATCTAGAAATATCTGTTGTTGGAGTACATATCTGATAGTGAGTTGTGTATTCAGCCCTTTTTTAACGTTCCACTGCTGGGCACGGGCCTCCCTTCAATACGAGGGGGATCAGGCCGTAGTCCACCACGCTGGCCAAGTGTGGGTTGGCGGCCTTCTCATGTCTTTTGAAAACTTGCTAGGTTTTCTCAGACATGCAGGTTTCCTTACGATGTTTCCGCCACCGTAAGACGTAAGTGAGTTACGTGACTGACATCACTTTGCATGGCTGTGTTATTATATTATTATTTTCCATTGGACATTAAGTAGATATTTATTTTTTGCGAGAAAAAAAAATTACCCTTTAAAGCAAAGTCATTCGAATAACAATACATTATACATTTACAAAGTAAACGAAGAATGCATAACGAGTCAATGGAGTAGTGTAGAAGAGTAGTATTAAAACTATAATGTTCTACTTGTTATTTAGATGATTAAATACCTCCAGGTAAATTTCTAAGAAATTAATGAAATTTCTAAGAAATCTATTGTTAACTGTAACGCCGGCGTGTCCGCGGTCGTAGAGGGATAGACGCCGCGCCGTCAAATGAAGTTTATAATTTACCATTTATCTTAAAATTGTTTAAATACACAAACTTAAAATTTTACCTTTTACTAAATATTATAATAAAAACCTTAAAAACAAAAAGTCGAAAAACAATTTGCTCTACTTTCAGGTAACGTAACGTAAGTCATTTTTTTTAGCCGAAGTAATCGCACAAGCGTGGTAGCAGACAGATTAGTATGATAATATAAATAACTTAGGTATTTTAATGAAATTATTTGAATGACATATTTTATAATAAGCCTTACAATATTTAAGTAAAATAAACAATATATAGTTTCGCTAACAAATCATTTTTATTATTACATAATATTACTAGTTACGTTTTAACGTTTAGTATAGATTTTTCAGAGATGAGATATTTTCAGACAGTAAAAAATATCCTATATGTTGACCCAAATAACCAGCTATCATCATACTAAATATCATCAAAATCTATCCAGTGGTTTTCCCGTGATACGGTAACAGACAGACAGACAGACAGACAGACAAGAATTTAAATAACTATAAAATCGGCCTCTGTATCTATAAAGAAAACTTCAATAAGATTTTCCAAAAAATATTTTATGTACAGATTCGGCTTAGAATTTTATTATATGCAGTATACACACATTATTGAATAAAAAATGAACTTTTTTAAAATAAATAATAATCACGTTCTTATAAAGAAATGTCATAATGCTACGAGTATTTTACATTATTCTGACTTTACGAAGCAGTTATAATACTATGCACTCAGATTATAGTGAAAAATAAAATTTATTTTCTTATTATTTTATAGTATTTTATATGCACCAATCACTCACCTAGCATTCTAATAACCCGCCTCTGCGAAGCGCCATTCCTGTATCGAGGAGTTCCATTAGGGCGATCGCTTTCCACAGACGTTTTCTTCAAAGGTTGTAAAATACGTGACGTGTTTAGTTTGACACCAATCAACACATACAGTACTGTGATCAAAGACATGGGGGCAACAAAAAACACAAAACTTGAAATAACAAACACTTGATGCACTCCATGACCTTTTACTGTACACGCACTAATCTTTTGTCCCTTCTCACTATATGTCACTATGCCGAATTGCATCGCTTGAGGTACAGCCGCACATAACGCGCACACCCAAATTACAATAATATAACGCACAGCTCTTGATAACTTAGACATCGTATGGGACATGAATGGACGGCATATGGCAATGTATCTTTCAACTGTAAACGCTGTTATCGTCAACACGGTGGCATTTGCAGACGTCTCCGAGATAAGTCCCACGGATATGCATAACGCCTCCCCGAGAGGATAGGATAGTGGGTTCCATAGTCTATGCAACTCTAGTGGCAGTCCACACACCAGTAGAAGGAGGTCTGATATCGCTAAGCTGAAGAGGTAAAAGTTCGTAGCAGTGTGCATAGATCTGTTCCGGGCAATAACAACACACGTACTAATATTTCCTAAAACACCGGCAACAAAAATGACTCCGTATATTATACTTAAAGGAACTATCACGTTAAGGGAATCGGGTTCTGAGAAACTAGACGTTTGTTCCGTTTGATTCGTCCCATTGATAACGGCGAGTTGTTCATCATCCCACTCCATCTTCAACTGCGCATCAGTTTATCTGAAAAATAAATTTCAGTTATAAATTCGGAATCATAGCTTATAATATTAAATATTAAATAGGTTATTTATTTCCTTAGAATTTATATATTCACATTTTTATTATATTAGGGTCTAAGTAATAAAATTTTATTTTAACATAATATCAAAATAGACTTTATAAAATATGAGAATATTTATCAGCAGGCAACATCATAAATATACTAAAACTAAAAATCTTTAAACGTATATTAATATATTTCAAAATATAGTATATTAAAATATATATACTCGTAGAATAGTAAATATGTATAATAACTTGATTTAGGTACATGGCATGGGTATGGGCATGGATATGGATAATATAGCTTATTACATTGTTTATGTATACTTTTTTATTCAGCATTTTGTTGTTTATTGGGCCTGGGCTACCTATATTATATTTTACCGATAAAAGTAGTATCAAATAATCAAGTTGACCTTGGACAATAATTAATAAACACATATCATTATAAAATAGCAATGGCGAATCTAAACATTCATTGGAGAAATATTTCAAAAAAATAATAATATAGGTACTGCTTAGAGAACCTGTTCAACATCAGTTAAATTAATGATGTTTCTTTTAGAAATATTAATATCAATATTGGAACATTTCTTCTCAATATTGTTAGTAGAGAAGACGCGACACTTACCTCAGACACTCAAAGCACAACTATCAATCTACGTCTATCATAGCTGTATGAGGTTAACTTTCAAATTTCCAATGTTCTAGTTAAAAAGTCTCAAAGGTAAAAAGTATGTCAATTTAAATGGGCATTTTCACTATTAATATGATTTAAAGGGAACAAATAAAACTATTTCTATTTTCTAAAAATATAACTCTTTTTCAGTCAATAACTACGGTTATTCGCAAATAATACCTTGGTCGATGTAGAGTCAACGCTTTTCCTTGTTATTTCTCTAAGGCTCTTTGTCATATGGCCCGTACACGAGATCACAAGATCGAAGAATCTTGTTTGTTCCGAAGCAAACATTGTGGAGGAGTCTGCTAACAAAAAATATTTTTGTTTCGTGTCCACCGTAATTCGTACCACCGATGGTGTGAACGCTCTCATGTACTCTACGTTCATCGCACTATCAGTCAGTATGGTTGGTAAATACGGGTCTACTCGTCAATTATAACGTACAATAATATAATCTAACCTAAATTTTCAAGGTTGTCAGTTCTCTGACTAATTAATTCTTCTAATATAATCTATACATATAATAAAATTCTAAGTCAAATCTGTACATTAAATATTTTTTAGAAAATCTTATTGAAATAGACATTATTATCGATACAGAGGCCGAATCTATAGTTTCTAGAATTTTTGTCTGTCTGTCTGTGTGTTTGTCTGTCTGTCTGTCTGTCTGTTACAGCATCACAGAAAAACTACTGGACGGATTTTGATGAAATTTGGTAAGAAGATAGTTTGAGATCCTGGGAAGGACAAAGGATACTTTTAATCCCGGAAATCATCTTTAAGGAGGTGAAAATTGGGATGAAAGTTTGTATTGGGAAGCAAGCTAGGGTCGAACCCGAGCGAAGCGAGTGTGAGTCGCTAGTTAGAAATACATTCGGAGTCGAGGCACCGGTGTTTTTAAAGATAATAAGAGTGCAAATTCTTATTAACCCTTTTTTATTAATACATCTATACCTACATATAATAAAATTCTGACTTAGTCGAATATGTACATTAAATATTCCGACCGATTTTGATGAAATTTGATATGATAATAGGGTCTGGATATAGGATACTTTTTACTGCGGGAAAATATCTCATTCTGAGAAATCTATACTTAACGTTAAATCGTAAGTAGGGACGAACCCGAGCGGGCGAGGGCGAGTCGCTAGTCTATCTATATAAACAAAAATGAATGTTGGTAAATGCATAACTCTAGAATGGCTGGACCAATTCAGCCAACATTTTTTTTCGTATGTTCCTTAAGGTCCACGGAAGGTTTTAATAAAAAGAAATAATAAAAAAATAACGAAAAAAATTAAAGTTTATATGACTAACGCTGGATAATAACTATTTATATCTATTTAAAACGTACCTAGCGACGAACCTGAGCGTAGCGAGGGTGAGCCGCTAGTTTAACTAATAAAATTATAACTAATTCAATTTAATAAATTACTATACTAATGGTTATTAGTTTTTATTTTCTTACACAGCCAAAGCAACGTGATCTTTTGCATAAACTAGTTTGTCCCGACCGTCACGTAGGCCATTAATACTGGTATATCAAAATTACCTATAACTTAGTGCAAAACTATGAGCTTATTATAACATATTTTTACTGACATTGCTGCCTATAAAAATTCAATCTCATATTACACTAAAAGTACGTTATTCTAAAATTTTTAGCTTATAATTTAAAATGCTTTAATAAACCGACCGAAAAATTAGGTTTTGAATAGAAACATTGAAAACTAAACATGTAAACCATTTACAAGTATGTATATCTTGTTGTTATTTAATTGATTTTTTAAAACATATCCGATTTACATACATATAATAAATAATTATATGTATGTAAATCACAAGATAAGTAGATTTACATTTAATATAAAAATATTAATATAAACTGAATCAAGAGCCTTTAGAACTTTTATCTGTCTTGATCGAGTATTATTAGACGAGATTAGTAGACTGGAATCTGTGCAAAAGCGATGGTTGCGGCAACTATCATATAGATATAAATTAAAATTAAATAGCTATGATGAAAGACTTAAACATTTTAATATTAAGTGCTTTAAAAATAGGAGAGAAATGTTAGCAATGACTTTTCTCTATAAAGTCTTAAACAATGAAGTTGACTGTTCTGATATTATTAATAAATTTCCCACCACGTCCCACCTAAAATACCCCGACATCCGTGCAACTTGTTAGAAGTAGGTGTCTACAGAACTCACTTGGGAAAGAATTCCCCTGTGCCAAGAATGTCGAGATTATACAATAGTATCACAAAGAAAATCTTAAGCGTAGACATATGCCATGACAGACTACCTCAATTTAAGCGCTAAGTTATCGACTATAATATCGGAATTGTAACCCTTCGACTTATCGCTAATCGTTACTACGATAAATTATGATATTTTTTTTTTTGTATTACTTTGTTTTGTAAGTTGCTATTAATTCTTATCCTAAATTGAATTTTCTTGTTTTATTGGATTGACTATTTAAATATTATTATCTAATTTATTCTAATTATATGTCTGATAATGTAATTTTTTGTATTTAAATTGTCATATTTATTAATTTTATAATTTAATTTCAACTTTATTTATTAACTTATTATTATTATGTAATTTAAAATTTGAATCTTGTAATTAAATGTTATTGACGTGATTTAAAAAAACATGCATGTTGTGATAACCTATAACTAAGAGAACATTTATGAAATTGTTAGCACATGAATATCATACCGTTTTTAATGTATCTTTTGTTGTTTGTCCTTTAATAAATAAATAAATTACGCGAGGACGGCTGGAGGGTATAAAATCACTTTTTAAATTAAAAAAGCTTAAAGCTATTTCAATTGAATATAACCTAATCCTATAGATTAAATCCTTTGGCTTAGTCTTGGACAAAGCGGTTTTAATACACGTACCAACATAACATTCACCATTAGTATGCATGCTGTGCAATATGAAATTGGAAAAATACATCTGTAATTAAATAGACGTCTATATCTATGTACATATATCTATACATATAATAAAATTCTAACCTATTCGAATCTGTATATTAAATATTTTTTTAGAAAATCTTATTGAAATAGTAATTATTATCAGATAGAGAGGCCGTATCTGTAGTTTTTAGAATTTTTGTCCTCTGTCTGTCTGGGAACGCATCACGAGGAAACCACTGGACCGATTCTGATGAAATTTGGTATGATGATAGCTGGTTATCCAAGTCAATATATAGAATTAGATTAGGACTTTATATGCGGGAAAACATCTCATCTCTGAGAAATCTATCTAACCCTTAAAACGTATCCAGGGACGAACCCGGGCGGAGCGAGGGTGAGTCGCTAGTTATACAATAAATTGGGAGCAAAATGTTTTAATACAATCGGTTGCTTACATTCAAAGTAACGACTTTAATAGAAATACTCTCATATCCACAGTATACTCGTATAAGCTTGCCATAAAACATTTGTCATAAACTTGATTTTAAGAATTTATTTTTAATTTAAATTCCTATAGAGCTCAAAGCTGTCAAACTTGTTTATTAATGTAACATTTGTATCATAATTCATTACAGTACTAAGTTCAAGTGTACACATATTTACATCATTTTAGTCCACAACCACTATATAAACATTAATTCCGCATTATATGGGAGCATATAGAACCGGAAACGCAAACTCTATGTATATTGCGCCCAATGAACTAAAAAGATAAACAAACCTTAATATATTACTGGCAGAACCCGCGGCTTCGCTCGTGCTAAAACTACAAAAAACTCTAAAAAGGCAGTTTTCATACAAACTTCATCCTCTATTTTACCCCTTTATGGGATGAATTCCGAAAAATGCTATTGTATTTATTTAATTATATTAGAGAGCACAAATACCAAGTTTCAAGTAATTCTAATCATAAATATTTTTTGGGTTGTATTATAACGTGTTTTCCCGTGGCAATGAGATAATGTCCCGTAAAAAGTAGCCTATGTCACTCTCCAGCTCTCCAACTATCTCCAAATAAAAAACCACGCCAATCCGTCACTCTGTTTCGATGTGAAAGAAGGACAAACAAACAAACAAACAAACAAACAAACAAACAAACACAAACAAACAAACACAATCACATTTATAATATTAGTATGGATAACTAGGGATGTCATTTCACTTATCAAAGTTATCGAATATATTATTTAATTCATCGCTTTAAATGGATGGGCAGAAGAATATTATTTATTTAATTGAGCTATGATATATTTGTACATTTT